GAGGGTGTCGAAGTTTTAATTTTGAGTTGGGTATTAAGTGGCCCACCTTAAAACTGGTCTTCGGGCCAGTTAATAACATTTTTAAAACATAGTCTTCATCTGGTCCAATATAAAATTGTCAGCGGGCCAGTTAATTACTTTTATAAATACAAGGGTTCAATTGGCCCAAAAGATTTATTTTTCATCAAAGTCCTATTTTTAAAGATCCGATTATTTCTTGACTGTTGTCAATAAAAAACTTGTTCATAGTTTTATTTGTAACAAATATAAAAATATAATGCATTTCCTGAAACCTTATAAGACCTACATTGTCAACTTGTCTTAAACATTCATTAGTCTATTAATATCTCTTTCAGTTACCATGTAAATAATAATTACTCAATACACAAAAAAGTCAGCAGTATTGTCCTGACATTTTGACCTAATTGAATAAATCATAAATAATCACAATAGGTAATACTTACTTCTACAAGTCTGTCATCGAATGTTTCATTTTCTATTTCTCACAAATTTACAATCGTCTATTGTAAATTTGAGTGTACTATAAAGTTTTACAAACAAAAAAATATCCTTAAATTAACGTTATATGCTTAATGGTGTATAAAAATTAAAAAAAAAATAGATTTCCTTGTAATTGAATTAAAGAGGAAAAGTCATAAATGGCACACTCAACTCAACACACAATTCCATCAGTTGGTATTGATAATAAATTGTATTGAAAACATGTGATTATTTATGATTTATTCAATTAGGTCAAAATGTCAGGACAATACTGCCGACTTTTTTGTGTATTGAGTAATTATTAATTACATGGTAACTGAAAGAGATATTAATAGACTAATGAATGTTTAAGACAAGTTGACAATGTAGGTCTTATAAGGTTTCAGGAAATGCATTATATTTTTATATTTGTTACAAATAAAACTATGAACAAGTTTTTTATTGACAACAGTCAAGAAATAATCGGATCTTTAAAAATAGGACTTTGATAAAAAATACATTTCTATTTCTAAGACAAGATGACAGTGAGTCATAATTACAAGGTATTAGTAAATGTATTACTTTTATATATTTATTACAAATAAAACTTCCAACTATGAACATGTTTTTTATTATTGAAAAAATAAAAATGAAGTATTTAGAAAAAATCGACCCGTCTCGCAACCAGCTCCGATGGGACTCGATGGGACCACTGAACTACGGAATCGTTACGGGGTAAATATTTAAATAAGTTTTTTATTGACAACAGTCAAGAAATAATCGGGTCTTTAAAAATAGGACTTTGATGAAAAATAAATCTTTTGGGCCAATTGAACCCTTGTATTTATAAAAGTAATTAACTGGCCCGCTGAAAATTTTATATTGGACCAGATGAAGACTATGTTTTAAAAATGTTATTAACTGGCCCGAAGACCAGTTTTAAGGTGGGCCACTTAATACCCAACTCTTAATTTTAACGCGCTTTTCGATTAACTTGAAATTTGGTATTTTTAGTAAAGACCAGAAATAAAGAATCATCTGTTCTTATCATAGGTAAACCACAATATTGATACAAGTATAACTAGAATTAGAATTATAATTATAATAATGAAATAAGTTATGCTTAAATATATATACGTGATATACGTGCTGCATTCGATTTATTATTATTTATAATCACACTAATAATAAAGAGGCGAAAGTTTGTGTGTGTGTATGTTTGTTACTTCTTCACGTCCTACCGGCTGGAGCGATTTATAAAATTTGGTATGGAGTTAGCTGACACCCTGGATTAACACATATAGGGTTGCCAGGCCATAAAATGCAAAGCCGGACTGCGCACTATATAAGGCCTGACATTTTGCCGTAAAAGCCCCCCCGACACAGAGAGGTTCGATTCCTCTCAGTCCCCTCCCGTTTCAAGTGCACATCTGAGTGCACTTGTCCTCTAAGCGCATTTTGCGTTATTTTAAACTATGCACTAGCTTAAACTAACGCAGCGCCGCATTATCCTCCTCTCAGGGATTGATCGCTTCAGATGAAGCTTGTAAGGCCCTTCTGACCATAAGCATGAATAAAGGGTGTTTTTTAGTCAGTAAGAGTCTGACATAACCTTACAGCCGGCTGTAGGGTATCCATGAGGATTTCTCACCCTCTCCCCCGCCTGGGAGGAAACAAATAAAAACAAAAAAAAAACGCTGTAAAAGCCAGACATATTTATTATATCAGATAGCGGGGCGGGGTAGTCACACGCCACACGCGCAAACAGTTTGCTCTCTTGTCCGCTCGGACGCTCGACCGCCCATCGTCGTACGAATCGCCACTCTGACAAAAAGCCGGACAGGCCAAACCCGTATATATTTGGCCGGACGCGACCGCAAAAAGCCAAACATGTCCGGCTAAAGCCCTGACACCTGGCAAGCCTAAACACATAGGCTACCCTAATAAACCGTGAGTAACACCGTGGGGCACAGCTAGTAAATTATAATTATCCCGACGAAGCTACTTTTTTTTATTTGATGTAATAGGAATGAGCGATTACTTGTATTATTTATCTTCAAATCGACATGGAACCTAATAAAATATTATGATAAATGTGATACAAACAATAAATATATAAATAAAATTAAAAATAATGATAATGTAATGATTGACAATCCTTTTGACATTTGCAATACCTTTAATAACTATTTTATAGACATAACAAATAATAAAAACGATAATATTCTGACATATAATAATAATATTAAGATATCTCATGACAATTTTTAACCGTTTAGGCCAAATTGTGCGTGTGCGGCGCGTGTCTATTCGCTATAAATCCCCTGCTAATGTTGTTAGATTAGGACTCTTTCCAATATTTTAGGGAAAAAGTTTATACTTCGGGAATATGTGCGGAAATTAATATAAGTATTTATTTTTAATGATTATCTATGTACCTGAAAATTTGTTTAGATTTTTTTTTCTAAAGAATTTTCAGGAATCTTTTAAGCTTATTTATAAAATAATATGCTATGAAAGATGATGGCATAATATGAGATTAAAGAAAATGGTGTTCCATTAACATTTCTCGGTGTTTCAATTACCTTCAAAAACTACAAAAAACATTGTATCGTCGAACATCAAAGTTGTAATACGAAAACGGAAGAATATCTCAGACTTGGCTGTATAAGCCGGGTTTCTTTGCTTTCCATTAAACAAAAATATAAGTCTGGGGAAATCTAAGATACTATATCTGGCAGCCCTGTCGCCTTCTGGTAGCCTGATTTGATATTACCATCCGGGAACGACGGGAAATCCTGATATGTGCACGCGAGCTGAGAGACATTTTGAGAAATAGGTATTTGAAAAAACTTATTACTGTCACGCTTTGGCAAATACCATGCGATAGAGACAACAGTAGCTAACGCTGAAATTTGCATATAAAATTTCAAAATTCGAAAATCGGAAATTAGATACATGTCTGTGCGGAAAGAGAATGGGCGAATTAAAATTAAGATTTTTATATGGCAATCACACCCAGCAATCTGTAAAATTTCAAAGTTTTTAGTATATTAATATAGTAGTATTAATACAAATTTGTTTGTTGTTGTGATTTCTTGCGGTTTTTTGTATTTAATCATGTCTAAAAGAGGTAAAACCTTACAAATACGGTAGAAAAGCACTACAGCGCTCTCCAATCTAAATACCATTCTCTTTCCGCATAGACTCTTAAAGAAATTTTACCCACAGAATAAAAGTAAATAAAACTAGTTTTTACGGGTTAATGCACGAAACTTTATTTATTCAAGTTGCTGGTGTCTACAAACTTGAATGCGACTGTGGGCTCTCCTACATCGGGCAAACAAAGAGGAGTATAGGGACTCGGGTAAAAGAACATATCGCAGATATGAAACATAGGCGCGAAAATAAATCTGCAGTGTGTGAACATGCATTAGGGGGACCAAACCACTACATTAGATTTGATAGACCACAGATCCTTGCAGCTGAGCGGCGGTTCGTTCCTCGAATGATGCGCGAGGCTATTGAGATTAAAAAATATCCAAATTTCAATAGGGAAGATGGTTGGTATATACCACCAGCTTGGGAACCTATTATACAGGAGATAAAATCCCAACCCCGAGCACACACTGCAAGACCATCAGATACTATTAGTTCTTTTTGTTTGCATAATTTAACATAAGAAGGAGATAGAAAGCCTCTCTTGAGTTTGTTTCGCCGGTTCTTCTCAGGAAGGTCTCCCAATTTTGGAACCGGTGGTAGTTTACGGTAGTTAGGGTCAAATAAATAAATAAATTCAAAATTACAAACAAGAATTTTAAATAAAATACTTTATTAAGTAAATTAAATAATAAATTCATACATAGACAATAAAATTTTAAAAATCTTCCAATGAAATAACCGAACGCTCAATAAAAGTCTTTCGAAGGTAGCTCGACAATTTTAAATAAAAAATCATTATTCTGACGATGCAGACCTGAAAAGGCTGCGAAACGTCAATAAATAAATAAAGTTTCGTGCATTAACCCGTAAAAACTAGTTTTATTTAATGAGTGATGTGCGTGAAAACCTAAGAAACAAATAGAATAAAAGTAGTTATAGCCTCTATGTTTATAATTAGAAAATATTGTACCGTAGCAAAATATAGCTATGTAACTTACCATTAATAAATTTCTGACAAAACCCGGTATTTGTGTAAAAGCCTGGACACATGCGAATTAATCTAACTAATGTCAGTTAGACTAATTCACACGTGTCCAGACTTTTATGGTTAAAAATCTCAGTGACTTAATACTAAGTGACCTTTGTCCTAAGCAGACCCGTCTTTCCCAGTGGGCACTTTGGGCCAGTGCTCAGGGCCCCGCGATTGATAGGGGAGCCCCCTCAGATCAATTACGTCCGTAAGTCCCTAGTTCCTGTTAAATCACCAAACGGAAGTCATAGGGGCCCCATTATCCTCATATGCCCAGGGCCTCCAATAGGTCAAAGACGGCACTGGTCCTAAGTGAGTTAATACTGACCTTTATCCTCAGTGACCGGATGCCGCCCCTCCAAGATGGCGTCCCGGGCCTGCACGTACAGCAGGTTGAGTTGCACCGGGTCGCGCGAGTCCACGTTCCGGTCGGAGTAGAACAGACGTCTCTTCAGCAGAACAGTGGTGTTCGCCTCGACGCATAGCTCGCGCAATGTTCTGTGCTGGTCCAGCCATTCCACTGCGTTGAGATATATAAGTACTGATCAGTTATGTAGACTACAGGTTTGCTCTCGGGTCTGTCATCATCAGCCTGAGGAGTTATTCTCTCTTATCCCACCTTCCCCTTTCCTTCTGAGGACCACGCGCGCTGGCCTACGTTGTCACCGTCTTACTGTGGCCACAATTCCAACGCGTACAAAGAAATTTGTTGACTCATTTCTTTGTCGCACTATTCGTTAATGGAATGCTCTGCCTGCTCACGTTTTCCCTCCCTCTTACAACCTAGGATCCTTTAAAAGAGGCGTGAAGAAGCAACATGCAGGCCGGCAGGGTGAGGATGGCTGGTGTGGCAGGTAGAACTGCTGTATCAGCCATCTTCGCGTCTGGACTTTACCTTCACTGAACATCAGGTGGGGTGGAGTCATTTGTCGGACCTATCTATATAAAAATAGCCTATTAATGTCCCCACTGCTGGGGCAAAGGCCTTCCCTATGGATGGAATAGTAAGACTAGGCCGTGATTAATTACGCAGGCGCAGTGCGGATTGGTGAGTGCTAACGACTGCAGATGCAGCCGGGACCAACGGCTTAACGTGCCTTCCGAAGCATGGAGGAGTTTTGGGGCACACATACAATGAATGAACATTGTGGAAGTTGCTTAACTTTAACGATCGCATGCCGAATGTGCTAACCACCGGCTCCTCGGGGCTGTGTAATACATTAAAACCTCCGTGAAAAATTATCTAACTGATAGAAAAAAAATCCACGCGGACCAGGCAGCAGACGGGACTCGAACCCGCACCCTTCGCAATCCGGGCGAATGCACTGACCAATTATGCTACCACGGCCCTGATGGCCGCGTCAAAGTTACTCCTATTCTTAACCTGCAAGGCAGCGCCATCTCTTCGCATTGTAGGTAACCCACAATGTCAAATTAATATTTTTTCAAGTATTAAACATTTGAAAGAAGAAACAGCATTTATAGTTGTATTTATTTTATTTTTTAAGCATTCAACTGTTTGTTGAATCTAAAGAAAAGTTTTAATAGAAAAAAATCCACGTGGACCAGGTAGCAGACGGGACTCGAACCCGCACCCTTCGCAATCCGAATGCACTGACCAATTATGCTACCGTGTCCTGGTCCGCGTGGATTTTTTTCTATTAAAACTTTTCTTTAGATTTAAACATCTAGCAGTTAAATGCTTAAAAAAACCGTCTGAAAATCCGATCAGTAGTTGCCGTGATCATTATGAATGTACAGACAGATAAACGCGGACTCCATGGCGTATTGGATGGGGTGAATTTTACCGACAGCGCAAGTGAGGATGGTTGGTGTGGCAATTTATAACTGCTGTACCAGCTATCTTCGCGTTTGGACTTCATCACCACTTAACATCAGGTGGGGTAGAGTCATTCGCCTACCTGACTATATATAAAGAAGTGATAATTATAATGATATCGCAAGCGTCTATAGCTTATGGTAGCCGCTTCACATCAGGCAGGCAATATGGTTGTTTTCCTTCCTTTTGGCATAAAAAAATACAAGCAGAGGGGTTTCAAATACAATTGGGGTGCTGACAGGGTGAAGTTAACGAAATTCTATTTACTCCGTCATTTAGATTGTCAAAAAATAATGGCCACTTAATGTTCCTTTTCAGTCAATCAACCAAAAAATCACAAAGATCAAAGCGAGTCATAGTTCAGGGCGGGGAGGGGGGGATCGTGCTTGACGTCGCTTCTAAGTTAAAATTGTACCAAGACGTGATTTCATAATAATAATAATATTTTTTTTTCAATAAGTTGTTACATCATGAACACATTAATTAATCAAATTCTATAAGTTTTTAAACAAACGTAGATACATAACAGAGATAATAAAAGGTGTATTTTATTTTTTATTTTGACTAAACGTAACAATACTGTAGCATTGACTGTGGGCCCCACACTAGGAGAAACCTGTATCGTGGGCACCCTAATATAATAAATAGGATGGCGTCACATTAATAATTTATATGTAATTATTATTTGTAACAAAACAAACGTAATGAAAGCAATTATAAATACTAAATTAAAATCAATATTGTATGTATGTGTATGTCTGTCTATGTGTATTTGCGTGCGTGTGTGTGTTGGTGTGTGCGTACGTACGTATGTGTGCATGAGTGTGTGCGTGTGTGTTAGAGTGTGTGTGTATGTGGAAAAGAATAGATATAGTTTGGGATAGGAATGTATCGATGAGATGTTGGTCCTATTTTGTGTTTGTTTGTTGGTCGTATTTGTTATTCATGCGACATCTATACTAATATTAAAAAGAGGAAATATTTGATTGGTTGTTTGTTTCTATTAAATAGTCTACTTAGTGCTGATACTGACCATTGTCGTCGGTTTTGAGCTTCTTGCTGAGCTGCTGCAGCTTGGCGTCTCTGTCCTTCTGCTGGGTGACCCGTCTGGTCAGGGTGCCGGTACCAGGTGCTATTTTTTGCTCGTCAGACTCCTCTTCTTCTATGTGGCACTGTTAACACAAAATAGGTAAGGAGTAAGCATCCACAAATCCACGGGTTTGGGAATTAGGCGGCAAGGGATATTTTTGGTATATCAAGCGTCTATAGCCTGGGTTCTGGAGTAAAATGTGGGTAATTACCCCTCCGGGGGTAAAACAGCCATACTTCGGGGGTAACAAAGAACCTAATTATTTGGTCAAATCTAAATAAGAAGAAAATCTAATATATAAAATTCTCGTGTCTCGGTGTTTGTGGTTAAACTCCTCCGAAACGGCTTTCCCGATTCTCATGAGATTTTGTGTGCATATTGGGTAGGTCTAAGAATCGGACAACATCTATTTTTCATCCCCCTAAATGTTAAGGGTAATCCACCTCTAAATTTTTTTTTTCAATTTTAGATATTTTTTTTTAATTTTTTATCATACATCATACAAAAATACATACATCTCTAAATTTTCAACTTTCTACCACCAACCCCTATTTTTTTATGGCGGTACGAAGTTCGCTGGGTCAGCTAGTACTATATAATAATACTACTAAATAGAGCATGCGCTCCTTCTTGCTAGCGAGCCCGCGAGGTGCTGAGTGTGGGAAGCGGGGCGAGATTTTCTCCTGATGATGACATTCATCATCATCATCATCATCAGCCTCTTAATGTCCCCACTGCTGGGGCACAGGCCTTCCCTATGGATGGAATAGGAAGATTGGGCCATGACCCACCACGCGGGCCCAATGCGGATTGGCGGGTGCTAACGACTGCAGATGCAACCGGGACCAACGGCTTAACATGCCTTCCGAAGCACGGAGGAACTCGAAATAGAAATTTTTGGTCACCCATCCAATGACCGACCACTGCGAAAGTTGCTTAACTACAACGATCGCAGCCGAACACGCTAACCACCTGCGCCATCGAGCTCCTCTTTTACTGATGACATTATTTGAGACGAAGATGTAGCGGCCAAATTGGAAAGGTTAGGAAACACTGGTCTACAGTCTATGGCCACCCTTTCACATTAAAAAACCCAAGAAATAGGGACATTAATAGACCATGCGTACTCACCAGTCCATATTCATCGTAGTTGGTGATGCCAAGCCTCGCGCAGATTCCCACCATCAGCTCCTCCACCGTCTTGGCCTCGTCCACTGGCATTGTTTTCACAGAACCTGCCATAAGCATATTATTATAATAAAATTTCATACTATATGACTCGGTGTACTTCATATCACATATCCTAACGACATTAAAACTTGATATAGTTATACAGGGTTTAAAAAAACCTATGACAAAGACTTAAACTACGCATTCTGTACACCCAAACAAGTCATATTACAAAATATAGGTGGGAAAAAAATGTATTTTTAAATTAAAAAATACACTTTTTTTCCAGTACGCAATGTATAGCGCGACGCTTTACTGTGGTGCTACGCAAAGAATGTGCCTGTGTGTATGTGTGTGCGTGTGTGTAAGTGCGTCGATAAAAAAGTTTCTAAATAACGTTTTGAAAATATTAATGTATAAATCTTGAAAAAATGGCTTTGACCTGCAATATCTCCATAACCATAAATTTCCCAGAAGATACGTGGACTTCGACTTCGTTATAGGTTTTTTTACACCCTGTATATGCATCAGTAATATATATTCTATCCGTTACCGTTGTATAACACAAGCCTTATAGCCTTCTTTGGGACCAAGCGAAATGGTGTATGAGTTGGAAATATTTATTTATTTATATCTCACCGCATAACGTTCGGAACCTCAAGCCGGCACAGGTAGTGCAGCTGGTCTCCATCTCCGTCGCGCAGCATGTAATTATAATCATTATTAGGTATGTCATATATCTCACCATCCAACATATAGACCCTCAGGTTCCGCAACCTGCACAGGTAGAGCAGCTGATGATCTCCGTCGCGCAGCATGTAATTATAATCATTATTAGGTATGTCATATATCTCACCATCCAACATATAGACCCTCAGGTTCCGCAACCTGCACAGGTAGAGCAGCTGATGAGCTCCGTCGCGCAGCATGTAATCATAATCATTATTAGGTATGTCATATATCTCACCATCCAACATATAGACCCTCAGGTTCCGCAACCTGCACAGGTAGAGCAGCTGATGAGCTCCGTCGCGCAGCATGTAATCATAATCATTATTAGGTATGTCATATATCTCACCATCCAACATATAGACCCTCAGGTTCCGCAACCTGCACAGGTAGAGCAGCTGATGATCTCCGTCGCGCAGCATGTAATCATAATCATTATTAGGTATGTCATATATCTCACCATCCAACATATAGACCCTCAGGTTCCGCAACCTGCACAGGTAGAGCAGCTGATGATCTCCGTCGCGCATCATGTAGTTAAATTGTTATTATGTTTTATATGTCACCGTCCAACATGCAGACCCTTTTTTTTTGTGACGCAGGCAAAAACTCTGTTTACAGACGACGGCGCCTTTAAGAGGCACACCGCCGAACGGACCTCACATCTGGCTCCCGCAAACCTTACAAGCCCCCACAGTGGCTGCCCACTGAGGACCCCGTAACTCTTACGGGCGCTTTACGGCATAAGCTAAGCTGCTTAGTGCGAAACCGCGTGATCCCCGTTTAGGGATTCTTCCGGGTCTCCACACCCAGCAGCCTCCCGGCCTAGCCTGGGACAACATGCAGACCCTGAGGTTCTGCAAACTGCACAGGTACAGCAGCTGATGATCTCCGTCGCACAGCATGAAGTTAAACCGTTATTATGTCTTATGTCTCATCGTCCAACATGTGCATCCTCAGGTTGCGCAGCTGGCACTGGTAGCGCAGTGGGTCTCCGTCGCCCAGCATATAGTTTTAATCATTATCTATATATATTAAACTCAAAGGTGACTGACTGACTGACATAGTGATCTATCAACGCACAGCCCAAACCACTGGACGAATCGGACTGAAATTTGGCATGCAGGTAGATGTTATGACGTAGGCATCCGCTAAGAAAGGGTTTTGATCAATTCTACCCCCAAGGGGATAAAATACCGAAGCGAAGCGAGGGCGGGCCACTAGTTATGTCATATATCTCACCGTCTAACATGCGGACCCTCAGGTTCCGAAGCCGGCACAGGTAGTGAAGCTGGTCTCCGTCGCGCAGCATGTAGTAGTCCAGCTGCCGGTGCCGCTCCAGCCATATGCCAGACTTGTCATCATCAGCAGACGTCAGGAATAGTCCATAATCTATGTAATAACATGAGACTAATATAATCTTTTTCTTTATACATAAAAATGAAACCCTATTTCCATTGGTCACGCAAGCGAACGCCATAACTTCAGAGCAACTACAAATATTTAACTGTTTGTTATTATATTTTGACGACCTCAGTGGTCGGGTGATTTGTACGCCGGGTATCATGGTGTCGCCGACTTGAGTGGTCCCGGGTTCGAATCCCGGTGGGGGCAGACGTTTGTGTGATGAATATGAGCATTTGTACTCCAGTCATGGATGTTTGATATGTATTACTATATAAATGTACTTTTATATATACAGTATAATATGTATTCTTTCCGTTACCCTAGTGTCCCATAACACAAGCCTTCTTATAGTGCTTACTTTGGGGCTAGGTCAATTGATGTGTGTTGGAAATATTTATTATTATCTTTATATATGTAATTCTTCTGTGAGTGTGTATGTCACTGAACTTCTCTTAAACGACTGGACCGATTTTGATGAAATTTTTTGTGTGTGTTCAAGGGGATCTGAGAATGGTTTAGATTCACAATTTTGTCCGCTGGACAATGTTTTTTTAATTTTTTTTTTATGGCGGTACGAAGTTCGCTGGGTCAGCTAGTCTTTATATATATAATTCTTCTGTGAGTGTGTATGTCACTGAACTTCTCTTAAACGACTGGACCGATTTTGATGAAATTTTTTGTGTGTGTTCAAGGGGATCTGAGAATGGTTTAGATTCACAATTTTGTCCTCTGGACAACCCCTATTTTTTTAGGGCGGTACGAAGTTCGCTGGGTCAGCTAGTTATTATATATAAGGTCGCTCGTGCCAAGGCGGGCGCTACTGCGATAAGCTCGCTATGCTCGCTTGCTTGAGCATAATTTAGATTACCTCACCACACTCCCCTATCCTAACCCATTGCACAGTTAGCATAATTTAATATTACACAATATAAAATTTTGCCATCTGTAAAATGATTCCATTGAAAATTCGGACCTATAAACATTCGGAGAAACGATAATTGTATTAACAAAAAAATATGCCTTAAAAATAATCTGCCAGATAGAGGGTTAACCTGTGTGACCTGCATGTGCATGGCATTAGCAGACAAACAGTCTGGTCCTCTGTGGTGGGTCTAAAAATTTTTCTTTTTAGGGTTCCCTACCTCAAAAGGAAAAAAACAGAACCCTTATAGGATCACTTTGTTGTCCGTCCGTCCGTCTGCCAAGACCGTTTTTCTCAGGAACGCGTGGAGGTATCAAACTGAAATTCATAACTTATACTCATGTCTACTGTCCCTTGGAGCTGTGAAAAAATCAAACTTCTAAGCCAAAGCATTCAAAAGATACAGCCGTTTATGTCGCAAATTGCCGCAAATATTCGATACTCGCACGGGAATCAAAATCTACTGGGTACTTCCCGTGAACTTAGAATCTTGATATTTGGTACGAAGTAACGTCTTATAGTACAGATAAAGGAAAAATTGCGAAAACCGTAAATTTTTATATACATCATATAATAAAAATATTTTTGAAAATTTTAAAGTTACTACCTCTTTTCTCATGAACGGTATTAAATTGAGTTTGTACGGAACTCTCAGTGCGCGAATCCGACTCGCACTTTTCTTGTCTGTTTTTTTTCTATTATTTTATATGAGTAAACTTAAGTTTACAATATCATCTTATGCCTCTTGCCCTAAATATTCTTATCAATCGGCCGCATTTGTAATGTATTCACTAGGTACACTAAACATGTCTCACTCAAATAAAAATCATCTTTATTTATGTATGATTCATGGGATGACCGAATGACTCGGTCTTCCTACATGACACTAATAATATTTATTTAAATTCTCTCGTTAGAGGAGCTCGATGGTGCAGGTGGTTAGCGCATTCCGCTGGCGATCGTGAAAGTTAAGCAACTTTCGCAATGGTCGTTCATTGGATGGGTGACCAAAAATCTCCGTTCTTGGAAGGCACGTTAAGCCGTTGGCCCTACAGTCGTTAGCACCCACCAATCCGCACTGAGCCTACGTGGTGGTCAGGCCTATTCTCCCATTCGATCCATATGGAAGGCCTGTGCCCCAGCAGTGGGGACATTAATAGGCTGATGAAGAATTAAATTGTGAAGCTTAAATAAAACTAGTTTTTTTACGGGTTAATGCACGAAACTTTATTTATTTATTGACGTTTTTCGACAATTTAATAAAAAAATAATTCCGACGACGCAGCCTGTAAAGGCTGCGAAACGTCAATAAATAAATAAAGATTCGTGCATTAACCCGTAAAAACTAGTTTTATTTAATGAGTGATGTGCGTGAAAACCTAAGAGAGAAATATGTAAAGCTCAAAACCTGAGTGGCTGTTATAATGTAGGTATCCTGCAGGCCAATTATGCTCGCTAATTGTGATATTGTTTTGATGTCTATTTCACATTACGTATTATGATCTCCGAAAAATGCGATATCAAAATGACATCAACTTATGCTATGATGATGATCAACTCTATAAAATGATATCAACTTAAATGCGTATTACGTTCAACTTTTTGACTTAAAATAGTATCGCATAAACGTCAAAAATGTGATACAGGATATGATCTTGATGTGACATAGGAATGTTTCATAATACCATATAAAAACAATGTCAACTTGGCATCAACATCATATTGACATCACATTAGAATTTTATTACTGAAGCATAATTGACCCACTGCGTGCACGAGAGTCATATAGCGGATTTGCCGGTCGAATTGAAACGCCTACAGGTTCCCCTCGGAGGAGGTAATCTCCACAGTGAAATAACACTATCTTTTGCTGGTGTTGTGTTTCTGTCGGTGTGTAAATTCCTGATGGAACCTCATGGACCTCAATACATGTTTACAAGGTTGATGACAGCTTTCAATTTGACTTCACCGTATGAAATAAAACATTGAGAAAAAAGCAGCTCATGCTGAGTTTCTTTCCGGTTCTTCTCCTTGCAGTTTCCCGCCGTAGTTTTGCGAAGCGATGCTGTAGTTTTCGACTTTCACATGTGCTTGTAAAAGCCTAAACTGAATAAATGATTTTTGAATTGAATTGAATTGAATTGGGCTTCACGGAATATTTTTTTTAAGTCATTCGAGAAGTTCTTTTTTTAGAAAATTGTAAACAAATCCATGTATTCGATGACTAAAGATAAATAAAAAAAAAAATATGGTAGTCGACTCAGGGTAGCGAATAAATAGAGCTTGTCGACCCTTAACATTTCTATTCTACTCATCAAAAACTCTCGTTCACATACATTTTTTTGATGTATTTGATAAAATAAAATTACACCTAAAACAAAAACTGGAAGTGACGTCATAATTTTGCATGCGGGCAAAATCAAGCAACTTCAGGAGTGTCGACCTCTAGACCTATGGCATTATTGTTCATACCTAAAACTGATTCATGTATCCGATCCTTAGGACTTTTATACAGCCGGCTCTCGGACTTATGGGGATAGCTGCGCATGGGTATGACTGAAGAGCCAATCGGCACAAAGCACGCCCACCCGCGCACCTCGTTTCCCCCCAACACATCTTAATTTTTACTTCTGCGCAATAACGGTCAGCGCTAGAGTTTCCGGTACTATAACGCCTTAAAAAAAATAGAGGGTAGATATTCCTACCTTTCCCATCGTGAGCGGTGAGAATCTTCTCCTTGACGATGGCTTGTGCTTCCTCCACGCGCATGGTCGACTCGAACATGACCGTGCGAGTCACAGCACCCTCGTCCAGCACCACCTTCAAAGATAGTGGCGCCATCTTCTTTACTCCTGGAAGAAAATACATTAACATTGAATGAGGGTTTTCTAAAATGACAGGCGCCAGGTGGCAGCACTGAGACAAATCTACTCGTACGACAAATCGCGTAAGTCTTCATCTATATAATATACAAGACTCAAAGGTGACTGACTGACATAGTGATCTATCAACGCACAGCCCAAACCACTGGACGGATCGGGCTGAAATTTGGCATGCAGGTAGATGTTATGACGTAGGCATCCGCTAAGAAAGGATTTTGATCAATTCTACTCCCAAGGGGATAAAATAGGGAATGAAAGTTTGTATGAAACTTTGTCAATTTTAAACCGATCGGGCTGAGACTTTGCTTGCAGGTATAAGAAGAATCATAGATGAATGTCATTGTGTATAATACAAGCCTGAGTACAAAAACTGTAGTCTACACTTCAGCTCTACACCGAAGCGAAGCGAGGGCGGGCCGCTAGTAGTCTATAAATCAATTTAAATGCTCCTTCGGTTAGTCCGCGCCAAAAACTTATTTAAAAGGCCCCAGTGCATCATTAATGCCGCAATTACACCTGCCCCCGTAGCATGAGCACCACAATTTGCATTAAATCACGTTTTTTATCGCGTCTAACTGTCAAACTGCATAGTAATTTGACAATTGAGCGTGATAAAAACGCGTTATATATCATATCGCGGGGTTCATGCTGGACATTTTAAAAATAACACTATTTGAAATGCATAATACAAAATATCTATTTCCATTCTGATTTAAACACTTTTTTAGATAAGCATTTTCCATTTTATTTGAAATACTTTTAAAGACATATTTTGTATTTGCAAAATACTTTATTTATGCACAGTATTGACTTATTTTTCTGTCTATGCAGAATAGTAGCTTATTGTAACTCTAGCGCTGAACTTAGCGCGTCAGGGATAGATAGCTGCCCATCGATATGACTGCAGAGCCAATCGGCGCAACGCACGCCCACCCGCGCACCTCGCTTCCCCCCAAGACGTCTTAAGTTTTACTTCTGCGCAATAACGGTCATCGCTATAGTTTCGTACCGTGACTTATAGTCACATAAACATTTAATTCAGTTTGGCTCAGTAGTTTATATGTTATGGGCGTTTTCCTTTTTTTTTGTTTTTACAACGAGGTAGGCAAATGACTCTACCCCACCTGATGCTAAGTGGTAATGAAGTCCAAACGCGAAGATAGTTTTTGTTAACTTGGGCGGCATAATTATTCCGATACTTTATTTAGGTATATTATTTTTTGTTCGATAGGAGATACTTGTCATTTAGTCACAAAAATAATTATTAAGTTTCACCTAGTAGCTTTTATTTTATGAGCACTTTCTTTTACTTAGGCGATTTGATTTGCACGACACTTTGTGTATGGCTCTCTTTATTAGGGTTTTAAACGAAAATTATTTTTAAACAAATAACAAAACCCAACTTCAAAATCGAAAATTGAATTAAAAATGACAAATTCTCATAAAATCGGGCGGGTCCGAGTATCATTTGGAAGTCGGACTGGACTGGACCTACATTGGATCCGCACGTGAAAATTTTACAGAATAGCACTGCTACGGAATATCAAAAGAATGAATCGATTTTTGAAAACCTAAAAAAAAGCTTCATAGTCTCATACCCATGGACTAGTGTTGCCAGGTTCAATTTGTTTTAAATCGGTACATGAAGTCAAAAAAAATCGGGATTTAGGGTTGCGGATCGGTACAGTAAACAAAAAACAAGGGGTTTTTAAGTCTGGGTTTAATTTATTGCGTTTTGAAGTGCAAGTATAGTGTTATAAATGATTATCTAAATTTAATTTTTTGATTAATCGGGACATTTAGCGTCCCGATCAGGTACAAATCGGGACGCGTCCCCAGAGCCCTGAAAATCGGGACACCTGGCAACACTACCATGGACATACTATATAACTAAGACTGGGTACTTTTACCCATTAATTATTATATTACCCATGAAATGGGATGAGTGATAGATATAGAACAGAGACCTTAAATCCTTTTCTAATAGGACGCCAATAATTTTGTTTTAAATAAAATTAAAGTACACGATCTATAGTGTTGTTCACCACACTTCTGTAAATAAACATTCAATCGAGCGAGCGAGAGCTCAAGCCGCGTGTAGGTACCGTATCTTGTAAAGGTAGGTACTATAATAAATAAAAATAAATAAATATTTCCAACACTCACACCAATTCGCCTAGCCCCAAAGTAAGCACTGTAAGGGATGTGTTATGGGATACTAGGGTAACGGATAGAATACATATACTGTACATATATATTTATATTTATACAAAAATACATATTAAACATCCATGACTGGAGTACAAATGCTCGTATTCATCACACAAACATCTGCCCCCACCGGGATTCGAACCCGGGATCTCTCGAGTCGGCGACACCATGAAACCCGGCGTATAAACCATTTGGCCACGGAGGTCGTCATAATAGGTTTAGGTTGCCAAATTGTATTTTTGGGGATAATTTGGCGAAATCTACGTTTTATGATGCACTACACTGCGTCTACTCCTATTGACTACTAACGGCATTTAATCTTTACGTTATATTTACATCAGGTACTCAGATAAATCAAGAAATTTTTTAAAGTGGTAAACATTCATTATTTTGAAAAATACTTAACAAAACGCAAGTGAAATTACAATTATTTTTGATAATTATAATTTTTATTATTTTTAAAGCATGTAACTGCTAGTTATACTTTTCTAGTTATATTTTCTTTATTTTTGATAATGTTCAAAAATGCAATTTTCCTTCTCGATCTGGTTTCGAATGCGGTCACATCATACATAGTTGTGGTCTTTAGAATACCTATATAATATACCATGTCGTAAATGCTCTAAGTTGTGGTCATGTTGTACCTAGTTGTGTTAATATCTTTATCATTACCGTTCCAGAAAACATGCAATTCCGCAAACAATTTTTCCTGCTCAAACATTTTGTTTGTTTAGAGTTAATCAGTACTATGTTAATAATATAAGCGGATATGTGTAAAGCGCGCATGTGACTCAGCATCGATTCTAACAAACATTTGTAATATTCCGATGACTCCTAAAATTATGACTATCATGTTTATTATTAAGTTACCACTCTCATGTTACTAACAGTATACATAATTAAGTATAAACAGAAACTCACGTGTAAAACTAACACGTAACCGCTTGCTTTGATGTACCAATTCTTCTTATTGCATTTTCTAGATATTTATGTGTACTTTTCTATCTGTCAGTAGGTCTGTATTCAATCTTTCAAAATATTTTCAGATAATCTTATCGCTTTTAAGGTAAAACATTAACATTGTAACATTGTAGTGATGATCTCTCTGTTGCTTAAAATACTTTATGGTATGGTAAGTACTTATAATGTTTATGAAAGGATTTGTACCTATGGTATTGTTTTTCATAGAGTGTGCCTACTTACGTATACAATGATAAATCACGTCCTAAATGTAGCTTTAAGTAGGTATGGCTAGCGTTCATATTAAAAGTAATCAATAACATGAGATATTATAATAATTTATTCATATATAATGAGGACTTCCATATTAAGATCTCAAGTCATTGACTTGAATAATCATTCATTACTAACAAATGATAAAGTACCCATTACGGTTTATTGACGTCTTCTTGAGCCTTGAGCAATGTTCTCATAGTATAACATAACTCATTTTTACCTTTGAATGCATATTCAAATTGTTAACAATAACAAAAATCTTCACTAAAACCAATGATATTATAATATATCATTGACTAAAACTAAAAATGTTTAGTTTATTTACTTACAAAAAAACAATGTTTACAACGGTCTCCAACTGTCCAAAGTTTCCTGCACAAAAATTAACAGCAATCTCACAACACTCTTATCACCAAAGTATGTTAGGTATATACTTATAACTCGGAACTTTTCAATTCCACAACACGAAAGCTTACAATTTAACTCAAACAACATGACCGAGAACCGATCTGTGGCTATGCACTTTGTGAACTAAAGTCGGAGATTAAGTATTGAAGAATGTGTTAGCGTGATTCACAGTATGACAACATGGTTAGTGATCCAACTGGGGTCGACCTTGAAACCGCGCAGTGCGAGAAATCACAGCTGATCTTAACTTACTGACGAACGAAATGAGTGCAATTGCAGTTAACTTTACAAACCGGAGAAGACTTTATTTTAATGATAGTTACATTTGTAAATTATGTTTGATGTACTTTGTGTCCTATACTATAATAATATAGTTTGTTATTACAAACAAAAAAAATGGTAGATATAGCTAGTAATTGTATATTTGTTAATTATATCTTAATGTAACGCCTTTAGTACCTAATTTGTACATAATGAGTTCCTGTAATTGTCCTAAAGCAGCTATACTCTAAGTGTGTTCCGCGGAACCCTAGGGTTCCGTGATACCTCTGTCGGGGTTCCGCAAGAATTTAGAAATAAAAAAATCAAAACACCTCTCTCTGGTCGCTCCGCGGCTGTGCGGACTCCGCGGCCGCGCGGAGACAAAACGCTATGAATGTTATTTATTTATTTATTTGTATTTGTATAAGCTTGTGTTACATTAGCTGGTACAATATCTCATAAGTTTGGTCTCAACAATTTTATACTTGTACAACGCGTTCGCTCTAAGTTTGCCGGTCTGTGGAATGCGCGTACCCTCCCCCACGTGACAACAAAACTTATAATGTGTCATAGTTTTACCCAAATATCTAACGTACACAATTTTTATTGTTACAATTAAATAAAAAATTTCGAACGTCATACACTCATACCTATCGCCAGCGGCAAACTTAAAACGAGCGGGTAGTATACTTGTAAGCGCTCAGTCTCTTTGATAAAAGCCGCCTCTGAATTAGACGCTATAGTTGTCAACTAGCGACTTTCGTCTCTAACTTCAAAGGATAAAGTCGATATTGTTTACAACGCTATTTTTAAATTTCTGTTTTTATTTTTGCTTTTTGTTTATCAAAGGTGCCGACTCGAGTATTTTCGAGAATATTTGAGATCGAGTCTAGGACTAAGTATAAAAGCGGCGATCGCGCGTTGGCGTCGTCAGTTGATGATTAGCGTTCGGAGCGATAAGTTACTACCTACTTACAAGCTCGCTAGCGAGAAACTGGTGTTCATTGTTTTACTGCCTGCTGTATTCTGTTGTCTCAGTTTTATACATTTCTTCCCTGTAGGTTCTAAATTTAGTCTCTTATACGCAGTAACGATTGTGCATTATTTAAACCCCACTATCCTGACTTGTAACATTATAAATAAAGAAGAATGGAACGTTGGCTTAAAGGTGTTAAACGTGTTCCAACAACATCTTCTAATGACGCTGAATGTTCAAAAGCAATGCGCGCGGAGAATTTAGCAATCACCGATCCAGAAGATGATGCCACGAGTGCCACGACGTCAAGCTCGACGGTTTCAAAGACGAAAAAAAGGAAGTATGATGAATCTTATATCAGTTTCGGATTTGTTGATTCCAACGGCTCACCTCTCTGCATGCTCTGTAGTAAACTGCTTCCTAATAGTTCCATGGCACCTGCCAAATTGCGTCGACATTTAGAAACCGTACACCCCGAGACTAAAGACAAGAATAAAGAATTTTTTGTTCGCAAAAAAGATCAGTTATTAGAAAGTCAAAAAAATATGATGCATGTAACACAAACTACCAACGAAAAGGCCACGGAGGCATCATACTTAGTTAGCTATCGCATTGCACAAGCAGGTGAAGCGCACACTATCGCTGAGAAATTAATAAAACCATGTGTATTAGACATAACAAAATGTATGCTTGATGAAAAATCTGCAAAGCATCTTTCTACTGTTCCGCTATCAAACGATACTGTTTCACGACGAATCCATGATCTGGCAAGCTACGTCAAACAAGAACTAGTTACACGTCTACAAAATACACGATTCGCTTTGCAAATGGACGAGTCGACTGATGTCGCTGGTTTGGCTATCCTGCTGGTTATTGTGAGATATCCATATAAAAGTTCTTTTGAAGAAGACATGCTTATGTGTTCATCGCTGCTTACAAACACTACCGGGGAAGAAATTTTTAATAAAATAAATATATTTTTTGAAGAACATAATCTCAGTTGGAACAATTGCATTGACATTTGTACAGATGGGGCCAAGGCGATGACAGGTAAAACAGCAGGAGCAGTGTCACGAATGAAAAATAAAGCGCCTAATTGTAGTTCCAGTCATTGTATTCTGCATAGACAAGCACTTGCGATGAAGCAAATGCCGTCTAATCTAAAATTAGTTATGGATGAAGCGGTAAAAATAATTAATTTTATCAAATCACGACCACTACAATCCCGATTGTTCTCATTATTGTGTGAAGATTATGGCAGCAAACATAAAACACTGCTGCTCCATACAGAAGTGCGATGGCTGTCTCGGGGAAAAACTTTAACAAGGCTATTTGAACTTAGAGCCGAGTTACAAATGTTTCTTTCAGCAGATACTTCTTTTAATTTGAAGGACCGTTTGTATGATAAAACTTGGTTGTTCCGATTGTCTTTTATGGCGGATATCTTTCAAAAACTTAACGAATTAAATTTATCATTGCAAGGTAAACAGACAACAGTGTTTCAGGCCTATAATAAAATAACTACTTTTAAAAGAAAATTAGATTTTTGGATCATTTGCATTGGTAAGAAAGAAATAGAAAGTTTTACGTTACTCACTGAGTTTGTTAGCGAAAACGACTCAGAAATGTTTGAAGATAATGTGTTTGAAGAATTGGTCCAATATCTCAGTTCGATGCGCGCATCTTTTGAAAAGTATTTTCCCGAAGAACACAATACAAAAATTAAAGTGAACTCCTGGATTCATAATCCTTTTTTACCCAACTTGGAAAAGCCTGAAAACATGTCAAATGAGATATATGAATCTCTTTTAGAAATGTCATCAGACACAAGTATGGAGTCATTGTTCAAAACGACGCCTCTTAATGATTTTTGGTGCAGAATCCAAGATGAATATGCAATGCTTGGCCAAATGGCTCTGGATATTCTTCTCCCGTTCCCAACTACATATTTGTGCGAAACAGGATTCTCTACCTACGCAGCCACGAAAACAAAATATCGCAATAGACTGGACGCCGAAGCTGATATGAGACTCCAACTTTCTTCCATCAAACCTGATATCAAGCAATTGATGAAAAATAAAAAACAGTTTCATACCTCCCACTAGTTAGATTTTTTCTTTTTTAATGTTTTCTATTATTGTCCTTACCAAGTGGTGAAGTAAATAATAATTAGTAACGGATACATTGTACTTTTATTATGCTGATTAATATAGAATACACTTATAAAAATAATTGTTTTATTGTAGGGTTCCATCAAGTATTTTGCTTCCCAAAAGGGTTCCGTCATTTAAAAAGTTTGAGAACCACTGTCCTAAAGACTTTGTGTCTTCTTTCATACTCCTGTTAGGTTTATTTTTGCACCAAAAAGTAGCGTAACATTAGGTATATCCTTCCTTCTCCAATATTATATTTATACCTGTACCTGTATTCATTAACATCGTTTCAGCTTTTAGAACCTTTTAAGATAGGTAATATTAATTCAACAGTCAATTTCACAATTTTCTTTGGACTTTCAAAATATTAGTATGCATGTACATACGTATAGTAAAAGATTTTTTAATAAGGTCTAACATATAAAAAGCTTCACAAAAAACGAATATAAAAAACACGGCTATGTCCGTTTGCAACTTCGCGGTGCTAATGATAATTCCTATAAAACTTGTCTGGTCTGGTTTTTTGCGTACTTCCGTTGACCTGATAAGAAATCGAGCTGTATTGACTGTACTGACTGCTGTGTTGACTACTAGCTTTGTATGCCTACGCTGTATAATACTATTTAACCAATAAAATTCAAAATTCAATATCGTTTATTCAGTCTAGGCTGTTACAAGCACTTGTGAATGTCGAAAAGCTACGCCATCGGTTCGCAAATCTACGGCGGGAGACCTTGTACGACGACTGAGTTTCTGTTAAAAGATGGATAATAAATTAACGGAGTTTTATAACGACCTGGACGAATATACCTGTAACCTTAGCACGAACAATTATCGAATTCGAATAGTTTGCGAGTCCGAAATGTCAAAGTCAAATTTTGTATAGAAACTTGAACAGCAGCGCCACAAGTTAGGAATTCGATATTGGTTCGTGCTAGGGGTATTTAATTTAAATAAAATTGTTCAAAGTTTATGAATCTGCTGTTTCCAACTTCCTGTGAAAGTAAAGATGCTATTCCGATCTCGGCTGCAAGTGCAACCTGCATCTGCAGCCTGCAGCCGAGATTGGAATAGGACCTTAAATCTAGTCCAACCGTATGTATGGTTTGTGAGATACCTTTTTTTTTTTTATTTTTTGACGAGGGGAAATGCAGTTACGCACCATACCGTGACGCTGACTAGGCGCACGGCGTGTGTGGGACTCGCCGGCTCGGGAAACAGTGCCGACCCTACTCAAGCAGGACCAGTGCGGAAGGCCACAAGGCCACACTGATCCTACTCCACTAAAACCCCCCGGTAGCCTCCTACGCCCATATGGGGGCGGTGAGATACCTATGCGAAGGGGATAAAATCCAATTTTTCCTCTTCGAATAACAAGTCCATAAATGCTATTTTTATGCCATATCTACTTCCAATTATCTTGAAAGACTTTCTTATTTATAAACATGTATTTAATTGAAGAATTTTCATAAAAGATAGTAAATTCATTAAGTATTGACGGACTAAAGAAATAAATTAATAACTTCAATGGATGGAAAAAAAATATGTTTTCGTTTTTTATATTCCAACTTTCTAGGTATTTGCAATGTTTGGCATTTTAGAATTTATCAGTTTGGCCCTTCATTGTAACGTTTTACGTAATACAGGTAAGGGGCCACCTCAAGGTGCTTCACTAGGCCCTTCCATTCTACTAAGAAAGTTGTACCAAATACTATTAAGCGTGGGCTGTTGTTTACAAATCAGG